TTTGCTTATATATAAATATAAACTGTATTGTCCCAAACGAAAGTTTTAGAATGTTAGTTAAATAACAGACGGTCACACGTTGATCTACTTTAATAATTACCTTCGATTTTTAACTTCCTTAGAAAATTGTAAATTTTCAAATATCGAAAAATAGTTGTTTTTACCCTGTTTTTTGGTATGTGCGCGCGTGTGTCCACACATGGATGTACGTAAACCTCTTATAACTTTTTAACGACTTGACCGATTGAAATGAACTAATCGGATTTCCAAAGTGTTTCATCAAACTTAGATTTCCTATGAATTTTAACTATTTCTTACCGGTAGATTTTAGGAAATCTCAAAATAAAATTTTTGAAAAACTGTTTTTTTTTTGGAATAACTTTTAAACAGTTTTACCGATCAATTCCAAAAAACTAATCAACTTTTAACCTTGAAAAACCACGTCGGTCGCCGCCAGTCTGGTTAAAATCGGTTGATTCGTATTCTATGGATTCGTTCGTGAGATATCATTAGTGAAAATTTTTGAAAAAATTGATTTTTTTAAATTACTCCGATATTTCATATTCAACGTCTTAATTTGGTGAAATTTGGAGCGCTTTGCATTTGAAATTAGGGGGAAGTTTCGTTACTGCCGGCGGTTCTGCCGCGTTTGAATTCGGCACCAGTATGCCATTGTAGAATAAGACGGAGCATTGTCGACCAAAGTAGAGAGAAAAGCATTTCCTCAGCACTTTTAGTTGAAAAATTTTTCAGGCAGAAATATACGATAACCGCCCGAAGTTCGAGCTTCTCCATTTTGCATAGGCATCAAATTCCCGCAAAATATAAAGTTCGAAAAGAAAATTATGTATTAGTTTTTCTGGTCTTGGCTACTAACGAATTTAAGATTTGAAAAAAAAAAATACAACTCATTTCTATAACTCATTGATAATTGTCCTATTCCGAAAACTTGATCAACCTAGTATATAAGTGAAAATGTAACCCAAAACAGAAACGACTACATGACGAATCTTCAAGTTACTATTTGTGCTTAATAATTTATGCAAAGGTGGGCTGACCGTAGCCACGTCATTAATGGTAAATAAAGTTAGATTCCTATAATGTCTCACAGCTGGGCACAAGACTCCTCTCATTTCTGAGAGCGTTTAAGGACAAGATAATTTCCACAGTGCTGCCCCAATGCGTGCGTGTTAGCGAACTTCATATGTCTTCGATATATTTTTGTTTTATATTTCAGCCATGCAGGTTTCCTCATGATGTTTTTATTCACCGCAGAGTTCGTGATAAATCAGCACTTAAAATTGCAATTAATAAACTAATTGGTGCCGGCCGGGATTGAATTTGAACCCAGGTTGCTTGTGAACTGTGAAATTTACAGCCCTCTGTTTCCACGACCACCGTCATCATTTTCAATAAAAATCATATCATAATGTTTTTTTAATTCATTTGTTTTACTGAAACAAGAAGAGAACAAATGTTTGCTTGTTCTTGGAATGTAGGAGATAAGCACAGTTGACAGAAGTCTATCAATAAATTACAGTCGGTCGTTAAATGTCTCCAAATAATGACAACAGCTAATTATAAAGTAAACAAATAGAGAATGTGATTCGTCCCTTTTTATACCACAGTACAAACCTTTTTGAAAATGGCACATTTTAATTTGATTGTATTAAATTTAGTATTTACTAACAACATGAAATCGAGGTGGCATGAGATATTCTATCACTTTTGCTTTTACTTATCAATTTTGCTTGGGCATTAAATATGTTATTAGGATAAATTCTAGAAAAACGTCTTAAGGTGATATCTCGAAAATTTGGCGGTTTTTCTATTTCACATATTTTTTTAAGTTTTATAGATTTACAAACCAAATTTTTGGTATACGATTTTTGACTATATGAAATTGGATTTCATAAAAGGAAAACGCGATATCATGTAATGTACTCGATAGAAAAAATTGCAAAGTAGGCTCTAATTAGTTACATTTCTCCATGACACTACAATATTTTTACGAATAAGTTCAAGAAATTATTTTTAAGGCATAGTAAATAATAATAATATCCAAGTTTTCATAAACTATTTATTTAATCCAAACAAAGCTTTGTTAAAAAAATGTTTTTGGAGCTTACTTAGTTTTTTCTGAGCGCGTGCTCATTGCATCACTTTCATTTTAACACTCCCTCAGCCGTCCGTGAGCTTCACCGACAAAAATTCATTTTCAAGGTATCCTCTTCAAGGCTTTATAGGAAACGTACCGCAAATTGACAGTTCCAAAATACACACCACAGATCGTTGAACCTATGGAGGTAGGGCCCTGTTAAACGTGGGATTAACAATGCCTTCGGAGAGACTTCTTTACAACACTGGAAATATATATTGTACAACTTCTTATTTTCGTGTATAGTATTTATTATACAGGGTATTATACAGGTATTATACAGGGTTATTGTGCAATAACCGGCCAAATTTGCAGAGAAGTTTCAGAATAAGTAATATAGGCAAATGGTGAAGTAAAATTAAAAAAAAATGTTAAACATTCTGCTCTTTTTATTTTTTAAATTCAAAATTCATGATAATGCATTATTTTAATTGATTTTACTACGCATGTGCATGCGTAAGGGTCGATCGGTAGGCAAAAACGTAGTTGTCCATAAATGACATTTAATTTGGGATAATTTCGAATAAAAGTAGAAGCCTAATTTACTCGTATTTTCAAAATTATTATTGATATATTTGAAATTAAGTTTAAAATTTGGCTGCTCTATGAAAAATAACCTTGTTTAAGGTCATTAGATAAGTTCTTAAAACTTTTTGCTACTATTTTTCCTTTTGTTTCCGTCACGCTAACTTTACTTAAGTAAAAAACGCTTATTGTTCAAATTTAAGAGTGAGAACATATCATATATTATCCACCAAGGACGGAAATTGCACCGAAAAAAAAAATTAAGCTGAGTACGACCTAGTGATGAGGAGCAGCGTTATCATTGGGCATTTAATATCAGCCGTGCTAAACGCATCCATCAGTCCGATAATCATGGGTTAGAGGTTTAATAAAAATTTGAATGTCCTTGCTACGGGAAAATCCTCCAAGTAATGTTTGCCAACGCGCGACAAATTTAAAAAATATATAAGTTCTAATGTGATATTACTTTGAATAGTTTAAAAGTAATGTAGAAATTTATTTAAGCTGTGTGTACTACGCAATAAATTATACATTTTTCAAATATTAAGGTTATCTTTTCTTTTACTAAGAACTCCTTGGAAATTATCAACCTCTAAGAAATATTAGCATTTAGACGCAAAAAGGCGTCGAAATACAAATGTTTCTGAGAGGTTACGACGACAGCTTAACCGGCGGAAAAATGACGACGAATGTTTCGCAAAATGCCAAAGGGTCAAAATAAGATTTTTAAAGCACCTTTAAGGTATTAAATTGCACCACTTTTGCTTGTCAAAATATACTCTAAGCCATTATTGAAACAATAATACAGAAGCAGTTAAGTCAAGTTCTCGCCAAAACTGATTTTAACGCAAATATAATACATATTTTGCACCGACAACGCTGTACATAAAAGTTAAGTCGTCGCGGCATCCATATTAGAAACAAAATAAATTTACCTTTACAGTCTCTCAAAATTCCACTCTCTCCTCTCCACCTTTACCATAGATTGCCTCATTGGAAGGATTGCGCCTTAGTTCTTTCGTTCAGTAGGCGGTTCTCCAAACGCAGTTTTAATTTTTTTTAATTTTTTCGGATGTTATGCGAAATAAGGTAGTGGATATTCGTACACAGGTCAGATATATAATTTCATCTTCTTCAATAAAACATAACATGAGCATAGTATTGCTTAAAGTAAAATTTAAAATATTTACTTTAAAGTATTTTCTACTGAACGAAGTTCGCCAAACGAGCACTGTCCAATTCGTTGTTAGCAAGTGGAGATACTGTAGCCCATCTACATCTACGAGTATCCTCGATTTAAGAATCGTCGTATTTGATTACACCGACACAGCATTTTACTATCTCATCATTTTACTACTCGTACGTACGCGTAACGTTACGTACTCGTGTCGTAATTACTTCGCAACTATTGAACTATATTGTAAATTATATTGTATAGTTTATTTGCAAAAAGAGTAGTTATGATTTATAATATATGACAGCCTCAGCGCTGTTGACATTTAATCCACCTCTGAGCATTTTACAATAGATTTTCACAAATTATCATAACGCTTTGTTGTTAAGTCGTTTAGAGAATGGTTTTCTCATTTTTTACTATCGTAACGTCCTAAATAACCAAAGAAAATTTTAATATTTTTTTTTATAGGATAGGGTGACAAACGAGCACACAGTCCACCTGATGGTAAGTGGTTGCTGTGGCCCATAGACATCTACATCTATCCTCAATTACGAATCAAAATGCAGATGCGTTGTCACCCGTGAGGACTACGATGGAATGCCTCGTTTCCAGTAAAAAGGGTCTCCGGTTCTCTACACTCACCATACGAAACACAGCAGCATTAAGCTACTATTTGACGCTGGTATTCTGTGAGAGCGTGGTCCTTCCCCGGTCGAGCCGACCCATTCGTGCTACAATTATACATCTAATATAACTGCAGCATGGCTCTACCACGTATAAAAATATGATATTATATTTTACGTAGAAAATATGATCACTTAGTTCCAGTTCAACACGTGTAAGAAAAGTGAAAATAAATCATCATCCAAATTCATGCCGTTTCCCTGACCGCAAGTTAATTAAAGAATCGAAATGGTTCGGCTTGTTGTTTTTGTGGGATAACTGTCATATAATAATAGCCTCAAATTTTATCAGATTGTGACTTAATGTTTAAGAAACGATCGTTAAGAATTAGAATATACCTATAAATATCACTCTTCCGGGTGAAACAATTTTTTTTTTTTAGAAAGAAACATAACTAAGAATTGTTATACACGTCATATATTGTGTCGGCGATTGCGCCTTAATTAAAAATCCTACCTTCCATCCAGCTGATGAGTTACTGTCTCCCTTATCCTTAAAGTATGGCACGTTTTGAACCATCCACTCGTAGATCTGTGATAATGTTAGCCTGTTGTCTTGAGCGGAGGTGATGGCTTGCGTTATGAGATCAGCGTAAGAGAGGTTCCCCCACGCGTTACGACGCGAGGAATTTTTCTTTGTAGTGACCGCCGACGACGGCAATGGCGGCGCACCTGGTAAAATAAAAACAAAAAATTTGTATATATTTAAACCGTCTGTAACGTGATTTGTATTTACATAATTTATAATGAGATTTTTGAATGGCATGAGATATATATATATATATATATACATGCATAAACACTCCCGCCTGTCACCCAGAGGGGTAGGCACAGACTACAGACTTCCATTTGGCACGATCCTGACACACCTCTCTCGCCTCACGTCCATATACCTACGCATACATGCTTGTCGGTTAAGGATACTCCTACCCATTCACTTCTGCAACATAAATTTTCGCTGTCACTCTTTCCATTAATTTTTTCTACATGACCAAACCACCGAAGCATTCCTTTCTTAATCCTAGTCACAACATCATCTTGCAAACCACACTCTTCTCTTATCACACAATTTCTCACCCTGTCATTCAGATTCATATAATTACCTATATAAATATATACATACATATGTACCTATCGCCCCGTAAGTTTCGGAAGAGGAGAGCAACGTCTTCATCAATCGTCAATAACAATCACAAAACAAAAATGGCCGTTGCCAAGCCACATGCCAAGCCGCATGCCAAGCGCGGCAACTATTACTAACCATTGGGAAGGATACCGTTCAGCAGTGGGCTTTGGTGAATGAATAAATTAATGAAATTAATATTTTAAACCTTATATAACCAACAGTTTAAAGAAAACTTTTGGTGGTTGCTTTGAAATTGCTTCTAAAAGTCCACAGTTGAATTAATGCCTCCCACCTCTCCCAGAAATTGCCTAATCGTCGGGATTTTGCCAAAGTGAGCTGACAACCCCAGTTTATATATATATTTTTTTTTTTTTTTTATATTATATTATATATATATATATATATATATATATATATATATATATATATTTTTATATATATATATATATATATATATATATATATATAATATTGTATTAATCAGTTGTTATCAGGACGATGCTGCTGCCCAGGCCCAGTTTTAGTTTCCTTCTGTCGGCTTACACCAATGGGACAATATGGGGTAGAGAATATTCTTACCTCCACTACACGATAAATTATTTTACATACGTTTTTTTGGTACATTAATTTTTGGTGTATTTCATGTAATCGGAGCAGATTATGAAAAATATTCGTTACTATTTATATTTTGTTCGATAGTATAATGCCCAAATACTCAAACGCTGCTCAATTTTAAAACACCGCTAAGTCTCCCGCAGTCTCTATCACTTTAAGTCAAAGTGACTGTGACAGCACGAGACTTAAATCCATCCATCCCATTCATTGCAGCCTATGCAAGTACAGTGCTGAACATTAACCTCCCCAATATATTGCCATAGTTGCCACGCTTTGCAGGCGGGTTGGCAATCACAGTCCTTCTTCTGTTTCAGTTATCCTTTGTCGCCTCTTACGACACCCATGGAACGATATGGGCCACTGCGCGGTTTACGATATCTTAAAATTGAGTAGCGCTTTGGCTGTTACTGCCAAGTACTCTTCCAGAATTATTTTTTGGAGACAACGTAACAGAATTTGTCACCCTCTTTCGCGGAATTTAACTATTTATGTCAGCCCGTTTATATAAGAAGTGAAATACCCCGACAAATCAGCGACGGGCATCAGCTCAAAGGTGCGAGACGTCTGGTACTGCAAACACTAATTCATCAGCCAAAGCGGCTTTTAATATAACTATTTGATTTTTACGAGCTTATGAGGAAGACTGAATTATTCTAATTTTTTTACTGAAGATTTAATAATTGAATATAATTATACCCAACTTATATTAAGAGGCGATAGCTGACAAGGTCCTGTATGATAAGCAGGTTAGTATACAAAATGCTTAATCAATTTAAAGAGTTCTAGCTTGTAGTGATGAGATTTGTACGGATTCTTTGTTAATTTCTCTCGGTAAAATGGCTTAGTTATTGCTAACATTTATTAACGTAATGTCGGTATTAGCATAATTAAACAATAAAATATAAAAATTCCACTACAGCAGTTTTATGTTAAAAAGAAACATAATTAGTGTGAAAAAAATTCGTAGTGCTTAATGCTTATCGTTAATAGATAAACATGAAAAAGGCAACACAGCATAATCAAAAGGTGTTTGCGAGTTGCAAGTGTTTGCACTTTGCAATGAAAAATATTCAACTTTTGAAAAAGATCCAACTAAGTTTTGATCAAATGTTGTGTGTGATTAAGTTAATTTTAGAATGATTTACATTCACAATTGGACCCAGTCGGTGGCACAGTTTTCGAGGTCCAGAAATCAGCCGTGCGAAGTCGAGGCGGATCCCTAGCACCTTATAAAAAGTTTGAGGTTGTATATTAAAATTTCAACAGACTACACAACACGATCCTTGGTGCTGCGTTGAAATGCAATCTTTTAATTAGACCTTTGGAAAAACGGAACAATAAATCTAGTTTTTAACACGTTTTATTAGCTTGAACTGCACGTACACACATCAAAAAAGTTTGTGATCACTAGCCAAAGGTGAATATTTTTAGAATTCAAATTTATCAAGAAAAAGTGTTTACGTTATATTTTTTTTTAATAGGAATACACCTGAATAAAACTATATTTACGGATTTTATCGCGTTTAATCAACTATTTTAACTTAGTTTTTAATAGGAAGTAGGGTAGAAGTTTTGAATAGGAATACACTGTTTGAAATTAAAAATAAAACTCATGATGTCATGAACCCTCGATATGGGATCAAAGACTTTCTAGCTCTAATCATAATTTCACCCTAAAAGGACACCGAATTCCCACCTTGCTGAGCGGTTTCTGTGGTAGTTCATTGCCGTTCAGAATCTCCAGGTTTTCTCCAGACACGGATCGGTTATCTGGATGAGTACTGATTTATGATTCGGCAACAAAGAGACAGTTTTGCTAAAAGTTTTCCTCATCATCTTCTTCGTTTTGACGGAGCCTAGGATAATTTCCGTTGCTGACGTTGCCGTGAATTCAAAGGTGCTCACCAAGACCTCGCCTGTCCTGCCTGGTTTAAGCAATTCCGAATGGTCTGAGTGCTAACTTCAAGTCCACAGGCGGCCCGTACTTCTGATTTTATTGTATTGGCGTCGATGGTTGGATCACTTGTCAGAACAGTTAGGCAACCACTGCGGGTTCGGTCAGCTAAGTTTTCCATGCCGTGACATCTGCAACGTGACCACGACACAGGATAGGGATACAGCAACTCTGTTGCTATTTCTCTCGTGGAGTGTGCTTCTTCCCTCAGTTACAATTCTTGCTCTTAAAACTTCTAATAATTCTTTTAAGATTTTTCCAAACACAACTTTCCTCGAAAAACTATTTTAAATCCGTTAAAATTGACTAAGTCAAATTTCTGAATGAGCGTAAATTTGGATTGAATTTTTTTCTATATTTTTATGTTTTATTATTTTATATTCTAATTCTATATTTTTAGTAAAGAATCGAAAAAGAAAAAGAATTATAATACAGTCTACCGTAACAAAAAAAAAATCGATTTTTCAAACTGATCGCAAACTTTTTTGATGTTTAATTTATACGTATCTATTTTATGTTGTAATATTTTTTTTAATTCAGTTTTTGACTATATGTTTTTGAATAATTCGAAAATTTTGAGAATACAATGATTTCATGACTATGATCTAGTATTCTCACTAAGATCAATGCAATAAATCAAGTTTTTTAAATTATTTTTTACCAGACTGCCACAAAAAGAGGGTAACGTTTTTTTTAGTGTATGTATGTCTAGTTCTTTGACACGCTCTGTCGTTAGATTCGTCTTAGTTGTGCTAGTAACATAGGGTTTACATTTTTTCTTTTTTCAGTAATATTTTTTGGGCAATCGGATTTTTTAAATTTTTGTTTTAACCACTAAGCTTGTTCGTATGTATGTATGTTACGCGATTTTTCCGTCCATTGCGAAACAATATTATGATTATTTTTCTTAATAAATACATTATACTTTAGGGTTGGTCCCACATAAATTTGAAGAAAATTCCACCCATAACTGTGGAAAAATAGGGGATCAATATTTAACGTAACATTTTAACATTCCAGCTTGTGAAGCAGAAGGATAAAAAATTTAATTTTTAATACAAATTAAAAGCCTTTTATATACTAAAATTGACCATTGACTTCTGAAGCTATTTATTCTATTTAGTTCTTCGAAGTAGGCTTTTCATTTTGTTTAAATTGTTTTTAAACTCTACTGAAAAATTAAAAGCCACGAAAATAATATCTTATGTTACGTTACTTTCATTTCCGACAGCTGGACAAAGACTTTTACAAGAAAGCGTCAACGGGGATAGTTTGCTGTGGTCCCTTTAAGATGAAAAATCCTTTGTAGCATTTTATTCAATAACAAAAACCAAGAATTTTCAAAATTTTCGATGTATTTAGGATGCCGTGTAATAGGAACAGTCTAGATGTTGGTCAGTTCTAAGGGTTCCTAATTTTTAGGAAAAATGTCAAGTTTATTTGTTGTTTTCTTCTATACGACTTATCTATTTCCTGGGATGTATGAACTATCTGCATACATAGTCTCAAGTTTATGCGGAACTCTCAGGACTTGAATCCTATTCATAATCGTCCGGTTTGATAAGAATATCATTACTACTGTTACGCTCGCTGTAAATATAACAGAACGCGAGTAACCCGGGTTCGATCCCCGCCGGCACCAATGAAATTGTTAATTGCAATTTCAAGTGCTGATTTACCACGTGCTCGGCGGTGAAGGAAAACATCGTGAGGAAACCTGCATGTCTGAGGAATAAGAAAAAAAATATTTCGAAGACATGTGAAGTTCGTCAACACGCATTTGGGCAGCGCGGCGGACACTTCCTTGCCCTAAACCCTCTCAGAAATGAGGGGAGGCCTGAGCCCAGCAGTGGGACGTATATAGGCTGTAACTTTACTTTACTTTAACTTACTACTGTTAAATAGACACTTCAAGTTTGTTGCGCGTTAATAAATAATATATACATCTTTATTAATTTGCTAAAATTTCTGAAATCATGTAAAAGCGAAAAATCACATCAGAATATTCCAATATCATTTCTATTCAATACTATATACGTTGAACACGAAAATCATTAAGCGATCTCTTTTAATATGCAGTTCACGAGTTAGTCGTTTGAAGTTGTATTAAACTAATTAATAAGTCTTACTTCTTCGTCGGGCCGATCGGATCTTTATGGTCTTTGTTTTTATACTTCTGATTGATCTTTAAAAATAATTTTCGTCTCAAAATGTAATAGAAGTGTCATTTCTGTAAGTTTTCCGGTGTTCTTGTATATTAGATAATAACCTATTAATATCATACGTATAAATAAGTTTATATCAAGTGGAATACAAATCGCACGTTTCTTGTAACTTACAAGAGCGTTATTCACTTCTTTAAAAAATCTATAATGTGATTAATTTTATTTTAAATTTCTCCGTGCGTTTGAAAATTAAATATTATCAAGCAAATTATTCGACTGTCACTTACTTACTTTGTACAAGAAGTCGACGTGTTAATATTTTTCATAAAAAATTCAAGGATTTTTCAAGATGCCATCTCTTTTGTGAGTGAAACCAATCGCAATTCGTTTACACAAGACAAGCATCCTAAATTTTTTGTATAAGTTTTTCACCTATAATAATTAATAACTTAGAGACTATAAAAGACAAGACCTTTTCTACCGATTTTGCATTCAAGACAATACAGGGCGACAGCTAAACAGTTAATCCCATAGATTGCCTCAAAACTTGGTTCACATCCAAAACCACCTACATAGGTACTGTGATTTCGCGCATGCTGTATTTAATTATAATAAATATAATGTGTCGTTAAGATCGACCGCTTCTTTATCTTATTCATTATCAGCACGTGAAAGGTAACAACTGGGCATAGACCTCGAACCTCTACCGGATTACTATTACTAATCAGCTGGCTGCACTTCAGGGTACCTAATAAGCTGGAAGATTATCATGGTTTCCGTGGGTTTGAAGAACAAGAAGGTGGTAGGCGGGTAGTAGAACGATTCTGAACCGTCGCCATTTTTAGGTATCGGGTGCACTAAAGCTGTCTACCATGAGTTCGGGACTACGCCTACGCCTAGTAGGAAGACCGAAAAAGACGCCTCTCCCGTTCGGGAGGATTTGCTCTAATTATCAAGCTTGGCAGGCGAATTAACGATCGCGTGAAGACGTTTTACCTATCCTCTATCTATCTCTATATCGCTATCCCTCGAAATTCAAATTATTGTTTTGCATTTTCCATTAACGGCTCTTACGACACCCACGGAACGAAATAGTGTGATAGATTCTGTTACACTTGATGGATTATCTTCTGTTGAAAAATTGTGAAAAATAGTACGATAGCTTAAAAATCATTTTGTGTCTTAAAATCTCTGTTATTATAAATCCTTAAGCCACTCACAGAATCGTGCAGCGACTGATACCGATACAGTTTTCTAAATGTAATGGATGACTTAACACATTCAAGCCAAGATCTCCCAAAGGTTTTCGGAGTGGCTCAAAATGTGTTAGTCTGGCGTTATCGTGATAAGAAACTATTTAGCGGACTGTTTATATCTGTTTTATATCCATTGCATTTACTTATTGTTTACATTGAACGTGTTTATCACGGATTTTACCATCTTGGATAAACTTAAATGATAAAAATATGTTTTTTTCGGGCGACAAAAGTTTAAAATATTAAGAAACGATCAATTTTAGTAACTGTGAAGGCAGGTTTCATAATATTTTGGATTAATGGTATCTGTTAACGACTTTTTTAACATTTTCTTCTGGTTACCAATATCAATAATTTAATTTCATAATTTCCCATTCAGTATCATAGAACAATTTCGATGCAGTGTCTGTAAACGAGTTTTCAGAGATGCGGATAAGTCAATCGTCATTCACACTTTCAAAATGAGTTCTACGATAAAAAAACATCCATTTACTCGACAATGTCAACTATGAATTTTATTTTATGCTTTTATATGCTCATTACAGTCCTTATGGGTCGCAAGAAGATTCTTTTAATTATTTATTCTTTCGTATATTTATACAAAATTTATTCGTCCATACAACCGGCAATCTACGGGTTTGCACATACGGCACGAAATAGGTACGTAGAAAGTCTGATCAACACTTTATATTGCTTGCCGTTAACGGCAGCTCATTAACCAGTTTACTTTTTCTTAAATGTATATCAGTTGCAAAGTACCTACTGTACAGTAGTGAAAGTAATGAACTGACGTCTACTCCTTTTCTAAAAAGCATTTTACTACTTGTTAATGTAATATTGCTAAAGTTCTGGTTTTTGTAAATGTACACATTTTATTGTCATATTGTAATAAGCCAAAGGGATTTTTTGGGATAAGAGCTAAAATTTTCTGTTATATGAACTTTATTCATGTTATTTAAAAAAGTTTTAGATGATATTATGTAAATATTTTTACAATCTAGAACTTCCTTAAATTTTAATCTTAACAAATGTAGCATAACATAGCTTGTTTATACGAATGAATAAAATATGACTAGTATACATGAGTATTTTAATTTATCTCCGTACAACGGTTAGTCCTCAATATTTGTATGCACATGGATTATTTGGTATTCATCTACGGCTACAGCACTACTATACACACATTAAAAATATCAAGCGGAGTATTTTTCAGTATTTCTTTTTAAATATCCAGTATTCATGTGACGATAAAATTGGCGGGAATGGTCAATTGATTAATTTAAAAAAATTATTACAAAATTTGATACTAGTCACTCAAAATATTTTTGAAAATATTGCAATATTTGTTACTTTTATTATGAATTTAATAATAAAGACGATGTATTGAAAAAGACACTGACAATAAAGCTATCACAAAAAGTAAACAATGAAAATCCTATTGTGAAGTTTTAATAGATATTTTTCAATTTGGTATTTTAGAGCGTAATTTCACAGAAGTATTTCTTAGAAGCTACTTTATGGTAAGATGACTATTTGATGATGAGATCGACCTAAATAGATGTATTGATATAGTACTTCAGAATTACTTAGGCGTCACAAATATTTACCAGTAAGATTTTGATTGGAGTTCTTCTTTGAACCAGTGTCGTCAGCCGGGTCTACATAGTTTTCAGGCCTCGGCAGAGGCCACGTGTTAGATCGCGCGCGTGTTTGTGGTTCGAAACCAACCTCCGTAAGTTCGCCTAGTGGTTCTAAATCTCCCATTGTACCCTCAATTTCCGACAGTACTGTTTGTGAAGACCACGGGCTCTGAAAACTACCGCGCCCTTGGGTAGACATGTCTTCAACTTGATATAGCAGAGTAGTGGAAATTTTTGGTGAGTGTGTCAGAGTGCGCGCTTACCGGCACTCATCTACTCCACCCGGTACCATTACAGAGCTCTCACAACCGTTTCTCGTTTGTACGACTTCTTTCTATTTCCAGAATGCCTTAGTAGTGGGCTTGCGGTCCGGCGAGGTTATCTAACTCCTCCTTATCGGCTCTGTTATATGAAGCCAATAGCATGTGGCGTCTTGCTAACGTTCATAAACAGAGATGTGCGTAGAGAGTATCTGCCGTCGGGCCGTTCCCGAGAGGTGATTTTCGCTAAATATAAGTGCGGAATGAGGCGGGGGCGGGGCGCGCACCACGTGAGCGTCTACGCGCCGATTTTCCAATTCATCACTGGCGGGCTAGAGGCGCGATAACCTTGTAACGTGGCTAGCGATACAACGTATCGCTCGCCTACGATGGTCACCGTTGTAGTCCCAGAGATCACCACTGCGTAAATTTGAGTTCAATCACTTTGTTATTTTTGACACTGTTAACTGTTATCACTGGATGCAGTAAGTGTATACGAGGGCTAGAAAATATGAAAGCAATGACGCGGTAAAAATTTTGAGAGGGTCCACGCGGTTAGCGTAACTCGCAACTGCGTAATAAGTGACGTGAGCGTAGTGCGGCGTACCGTCCTCAGCCGCAAGCAGTCACACGTACACTGAACCGCGGGCGTGCAAATTCCGCGAGACGGGCGCCGCACTGGCCGACGCGCGAGAGAGGGGGAGGGAGCTGATAGAGAAGTGGCGTCGTGTGACCGCACTCGGTAGCCATCTCGGCCGCACTCGCCACCGCTCGTTTTAGTACGGAATACTTTTCACGGTTTATCGGTGCGTAATATTAGGCCCCTTCGCGACCTTGGACGATGGGCACAAATTGCATCCGCACGCGGATCTGACATCAATGCAAGATGTAGTTTATTCTTGAACTTTCGCATGATTGTTATGAGCTCAATGTTAAATAATTGTAACGTTTACCAAACCACAGAATAAATAATAGTACCTACTACGTAAAATAAATAATAGTACTACGTAACCAAACGTAGAAGGAATGGATACGTACCTACCAATATGAATGTTGGTTAAGTCATTCAACAAAAATTATTTAACATCGGTGGCGCGCAAAAGTAAGGCTAACCAAACAGTCTTAACCATTGAATTATAAAAAAACGTCAACAGACAAGTAGGTATGTTGTTAATTGTTGCTATAATAATTTTATATAAAAATATAGAAAAACAATTTCCTTTTGTTTGATTAATAGAAGGTGTGCAATAAGATGAAAATAAAACACATTGTAAAGACTATTTTAAAAAGTATAACTTTGACTAATATTGCCGTACAGCGTTACCCATTTTCAATTGTTTATTTTTAAATTAAAACTTTTCGAAAAAACGTACTGGTAGTTTTAGTATGCGAGGCTAGGTTATAATAGGAAGCCTTCTTTTAAATCGAGTCTTGCTTAGACTCGTGGTTGTTAATTTGCCGTGAAAAGCAAAAAGAAAACGCCTTTTTTGAGCCTTTACGTGATAAAAAGTTACAAAATCTAAAAGTATATTTATAACTGACTAGTTAGGTCAAGGATTTTTAGTTTTTACCTAAAATGTGCTAGTTTCGGAAATAAGGTAGTCTAAAGTTCTGATGCGGTGGAAAACAACATTTTACATATATAAGATCTAAACTAAACACTTCCACGTGGAAGCATAAGAATTCCGTTCCAGAGTTCCTGTGGGGTGTCGTGAGAGACGATTACGGGAAATATTAAAAATGTTATGGTTTTCTAAAAATGGCAATATAACTATCTCTTTTACACCAAATGTAAAATACTCACACGGACACTAAGATCCTGCCAAGCGATACGAATAAGGCAATTAATTTTATTTAATATAGGATCCCAAGCAGGTGGTATCACCTATCCATTTTCTCTATTGAAATTAGGATGGTTTTTAATTTCAATAACCACGCACGCACATTGATATATTTTATTTAAAGATATAATTTTATAATAATATTTTTAGTAAAATATTAAAGACAACAGACGTCAAACATCACACAATAAATACTACGACTTAATTAAAATTACATTTTTCAAATAAATCAGCCAGTACGATCTTGGATAAAATAAATACTATCTTATTAACTTTTTTATTTAGTAGTGTAAAAAGAAGCCAAAGATGACCACTTGACATTCCTTTTTCCACGCGTAAATTATACGCAACATCTTTGAATATATTTGTCATTTTTTGACTCATTTGAAAATTAAATTAGAAAAAGCAAGACAAGTATATTGACTAAATTTATATAGAATTGTAGGTTATCTCTATGCATACGTATGTATGTAATTACTGTAAGGACTGGTTATTTTAGAACTGTTATATACGAAATAAATACTGGTTGATTTTTTTACCGTCTGGAAAAAATAGGGTTTATAACAGGTGAACAGAAAGAAGCCTATGATACTGATATTTTAAATATTTTTTTTTTACATTAACATATTATGAAATTCATCTATCAATAAATACTACTTATTGGGTGCGTATTATTTTAAATTAGATTGTTTTCACTTGATTTATTTATTTAGTTCAAAATAACTTTATTTTAAATTAGTGGTGTTTATTGATAGTTAGCTCCGTAGCTCCGTGAAGTCTGTAATCTGTGAACATGTTCAAGATTGACCCCTTCGTTTTGTAAGATTGGATGGACCACAAACCCTCGCAAAAGAACACTGATTCCTACTAATAATGATTTGCGAGACTTGAAATTAAAAAAAACATCCTAATTTCAATAGAGACAATGAATGGGTGTTACGATCTACCACTGCAAGACCTCAAGATACTGTAAACTTATTATGCGTAAAACGGGCCAAAAATAAGTATTCAAAAACTGAAGTTGAAGGAAGAAAGCCGGGCATCGGGACGTCAAACATGTCAGTCCACGTGACCATGGGTGCTGTAAAGCACCCGAAACGTTGGGAATTAAAAAGTTCAAATTAAACGCCGTTCAAATTAAGTGTCGTTAATTTTCAATAAAATAATCTATAGAACAATAAATTAAGCTCGAAATCAATACGATAATACGACGTAAACGCGTTTGATTAAGAATCAATGGTGTAGGAGGCGTTTGTTTACTAACAAACTGCATAGTAAGTTATTTACACACACCTGAAAAACACTTCGTGACTGTTCTCGCTAAGGATTTTTTACCTGTTGAACCATAACAGGTTGGTAATTCAGAACAATTTGTGACGATTCTTTGTTGAAATTATTTAAAAAAATATTATATTATCATAATAGAAATGTCAATGAATTTTATACACTTTTCTTATCGCGTGCACACTGACCATCGCTTGCGGTGAAGACAGTGAGAATCTTATTTTCTGTATTAAAATTTTGATTGAAAATAATTTGAACATGATAACGTAGGCGTATAAATACAGTTTAGTTTAAAGCGAGATGTAGCGTATATGACTTAATTTTTGAAAAGGTTAGTTACCTACTACCAATTACAACAAGTGTTAAAATGGCATGAGGATAAAGTTCTCTTGTAATACAAACATGCGAAATTACGTTTACTCATGGTCTCAATAGTCTGGTTTGGTTTACAAAATTAAAACCCCTACTAAATAAGTAAACTCAGCACGAAGATTTATTGATCGTATTTATGTAAATCTTTAAGTTTGAAGACAGCTAATTGTTATTGATAAGGATTCCGAACGGGTTCTTATTTACTGGAGTGACGTATTGACGTTTGACGAGTTTAAGTGTCCGTATACATTCTGTTTCGTTTTTACTATCTTAATTCTGAAGTATCACAAGACTTTAATAATGACTTGTTGCTGTCTGGGTAGGATCCAATGATTTTATAAAACATGATTAGCTTACACCCGCGGCGTCGTGACATTTTTGTCAAAAGCTATTTGTTGAAGTGCCAGCTGTTACAACTGTCAACATCACAGCCGAACAGTCCCTAACAGTCCCTAAAATATTTGCCGGTGGTAAACGATTCAATTCCAATGATAAAATCCGCAAAACTTGAAAACATTGCAGGTGCGTTGCCGATTTAGAAAACAATGGGTTCTTTGTCGGAAAAACCAACCGACGAGGCATTACTTTGCGGAAATCCATTATAATAAAAATGTTAATTAATTTGCAACCTTCCGCTAATTAAATACAGTGATGTGTCTTACCTGGATTGAAGAGCAACCGCCGCCCTCCCTCAATTCCGTGCACCAATCCCGTCACCACTAATCCCAGAACCACTACTCCCGGCACCACTACTCCCAAAACCAATATTCCAGGAAAGACACACAATCGATGATAATACTCAATAATACTAATACTAATGCTCTTCAATCCAGGTAAGACACATCATTGTATTTAATTAGCGCAAGGTTGCAAATTAATTAACATCTTTATTATAAAGTAACATAAATTTATTTCAGTCTGTTGGTCCATTAAAGAGTTAGTAAAAAATTGAACTTTCACCCTATATTAGTAAACCGAATGAAACTACACTACGACATTAAATTAAATATAGAGCCAGTTTGTGGCACTTGGTACACATCCAGTGCCTCGTGACTTGACAGTTTGACCTTCAGAATAGTGCTGGAGCTCTCTCGCACTCTGCCCTTAAGAGATGCGATTCATTGGCGTATCACAGAGTGAAATCAGTCAGTAAATTGAAACTGCGATTTTTCGCATTTGAAACCATATTAGTTGCAGTAACTATGAGTACAGGAGTGTCGTCATACACAGTACATACGTTTTTTCGGCGTTTTTTTAACTAATACACACTATACACTAATACACGCTCGTGTACAAAAATGATGTCTGTGAGTTTTAGCTACTGCTTTGATTACTAATCAAATACCGTTAAAGATGCGAGACGTCAGGTCGTCAGGACTGAAATTGAAGCAAGAACTGCTTCAATTGCAAAGTTCAGAGTGAATACTTTAAAAATCACATTC